TATCAGTATACAGTGAATAGTAGCGACTGGTAATCACGGGTCCACTTATTAAACTGGGTAGCAGTAGCTGAGTTGCTGAGGGATTTGCTGCGTCACACCCATATAGAAATTCATGGTACAGAGTTATAGTACATAGTTAAAAGTCTGGCCCCAGCGGTTTTGTACGTCTTGCTGTATGGAGAATATCTTAGCATATCTCTTTTAACAACACAGAAGTAATTTTGGAAAGGTAGGAACGCTGGTTCCGAAGCCTTTGCAATGACGAGAAGGACAACCGACCAGAGCGATCCTGTGTGTAGCGATGGAAACCACGTGATATTAACCTGACAACCAGGTGCACGCCACGTGACAATGGTCTGTCCGTGCACGTGCCGGACTGTCATAACACGTGCGGTATCTGTGGAATGCAGTGAGATGACGGTCATGCTGCACCACAAATAGTAAAATACACTGCGGCACACGCCCAGTTACCTTGTTCTACACAAACACTGTGTGTTAACAACAGGAATCCTTGCCAAGAATGGGAGTGACTTGTTTACCTTTAATTGACATAAACACTGAGGCAGAGTTAACCAGCTATAGTCCGGTTAATCGTTACAATCTAGTCCGGAAAAAAGCCATGTTTTCCAGGGAGGCGCGAGAAGAAGACTGTTTAGTGTTCACTTTCCGTTTAAAATAATAACAACTGTGTAGGATGCTACTTAATGATTGGTATTCTCTGCTATCTCACTAACCCCACCCAGCTTCAACACGTGACACAGTATGAACACGTGACTCCAAGGGGTTTGGACTCCGAACTAAGGGGTCTACAAAACAGACAGGCAGACGGACTACTCCATCAAACCAGACTCAATCCCACCCTTCACACGACCAACATTTTTAGTAAGTTTGGCCTATCACTTATCAGGATTGAGCTGGAGTTGGCCGAGCCATGTAGCCACTCTGTCACATTCCTGGCTAGCTGCCAGATTCCTGGCTAGCTGCCAGAGTTACACAGCAAGCTGCTGCAGTCCTGCATTCTGACAGCTCCCTCTCGATAACATACTAGAAAACCTGGGCGTAGTGAGTGGCCAGCATGCAGTCCTCGTGTGTAGCTGCAACTTCCACCCCACTTCACATGTGCGTGTGTGTGTGTGGGGTGGACTAAGTCCAGTACATTGTACATTTGTTGTACACACCATATGAACCTAAAGTGACAAGCATATTATAAACATGCTTGATGGAAAGTTCAGCAGCAGCCAGCTTTCTTCACCACATGTATATATACACAATGTGGGGGCGGCGTCTCATCGTGCGAGCTTCTATCTATTTTAAACCCCATCTTTTGAAGTTGGCATGGTACAAAAAGTAGAAGGTAAAGACTTTTGTTCAGGATTTAAACTGTTTGGTTAATGGTAATTGGTATGCCCTCAAGAATTTAAGGGAACCTTAATACCTATAATAACCTCTTTGAATATTTTTATTTGGTACGCTGAAAAACGTTTAAAAAGTCCTGTAAGGCTTTAAAAAGTTTACGTTCCTATTTTAAAGTTTGATAACAAATTTCGCGTTCAAATTTGGCAACGAGACGCGAAACCTTGAAAAGTAAAGTGACTTTAAGAGATTCCCAAAATACAGACCAACTTTTAAAATTATAATTCGTATCAGACAGCCGTCATTTAACATCCTGATTCCTGGCGCGGGCTGACCGCTGGTTTAGGCAGATTTAGCAGCGGTTAAGCTGACAAAAGAAATCAATCGTGAAGTTGAGATTATCCCTAAACTACGTGTATCATGGTGTTAAAGTTAATTTGAAGTATAAGTAAAGTAGAAAAGTGTAAAATTCAGACAAACAAACATACTAACATACAAACAAACAGACACACACACAAAAAACAAAAACACACATACAAACACACACACACACACACACACACCTACATACACACATTACACACCTGATGCTAAGTTTGTTTTTGACGTCCTGGCAGTTGGTGAGTCTTTCCACGCTGTAGCACCCGTTTTTACGGAGCCGTCGGAGCAACAGGGGCGGAACGTAGAGGTTAACCGAGCCTGGGAATACGCTTTTATACTCTCATTTTACAATGTGTACATTTCATACATCTGATTATATGTACATTAACACATGCTATGTATTCTATTATACGAATAAACGGCCGTTTTTACAAATATATATCATATATACAATATATGTTGTGTTATTATACATGGGGTGAACATGCGAACATTCTATGACAGAAATACTGCAACTTTTACGTTGAAACTAAGAAAATTTAAGGAAGATATTTTGTAGTAAAAGAAAATAAATTGGATGCTCGCAGAGCAGCTTTATTTGGTATAATTTACTTGGGGTGTTTGGAATTTGTGGCATTTTAAGCTGCTGAGTACTCTTGTTGTTCAGCTGTTGTGGCTGTAAAATGTGCACTGTGTGAACTTGGTAGAAAGAGCCGTGTGATATTGAAGTATATAATAATATGTTTCAAGTTGCTACTGTGTAAACATGATAATGAGTATTGTGAATATTATTGCGGTCAATACCAAAATGACAACGCAGCTGTTAATTAATTTGATAAACATGGTTTTGTGGAGGAGAATCGTGCAATAATATCCAAAACTACCATTTGACAGCTGGTCGTTTTGACAAACATTGTGAAGTTACAAATAAACATTGTGAAGTAATAAATAAATATATATATATATTTTGTAGCTGTACTCCTACACATTAAAAGTCGGTGTTGATTAGATCTTCGAAATAAGTCTTTGCATCATTTTATTAAACATCGTTATCTGAGATAAAATTGTTCTAAAAGCAACTGGAATATTCACAAATCTTTAAAATAACTTACAAACTAGGAAAGGAAAACAAGTCTTAGGAAGACGTACAAAACTATGTGACTTAAAACGGTACAAAACTAAAATATACTGATTAATAATCAAACGAAAAGAATGGCTGCGTACATTTTATCTAATCTATTAAAGATTAGTTTCTCAGAAAAAGCTAGATTTCTCTGAATCAAGCAGTAAAAATATATAAATAGTAATGAATATAACACGTCTCTGATAGCAATATTGTAAACTAAACACGGGTTAATAGGCTGAGATCATGTCAAATAAAATAAATAAACTAAACACTAAGCTCCAGCGGATTTAAAAAGGATGTGGTTACTATCGAGGGTGTTCATACCCCCATAACGCTCAAGGGTTTTCAATTGGGTCTGGTAGAACCCCTCTCTAGCTTCCATAGCCTTTTCCCTATCTGCTTGACTTATTTCAGGTTTAAATTCAAGAGCGTCCACTATAATAACAGAAAGGTGCGTACTAAGTGAAGAGTTATATAAGGCTACTGAACTAAAATCTAAATCATGATCAATATCTAAAAAGTGATTTACTAACTTACAACTTCTGATACCTTTCTTAATGTGGCTCTTATGATTAGAAAATCTCTTAGGGAGATTAGAAGTAGTATATCCTACATACGACTGTTTACAAGTTCTACACTCCATTAAATAAATAAGGTTATTACTCTGACAAGTTATATATTTAGTAATAGGGAAAACTTGTTTGGAATGGTGACTACTAAATTTGGAACAAGGGGACAGGAAACTTTGCTTACAAACATAGCATTTTCCACAGGCATGGCACCCTGCGTTGTCAGCCTCCCGAACAGCCGGCAATATTGCAGCGTCTGGTTCAAGAAATTGACTAGCAGTGGCTTCTCCATCTCTATCACTGCTTACAGTTCCACTAGCACGATACTTATTGTGTACAAGCATGCCACCGATAGTTTGATTCTTTCGGTGACTTACAAATACACTGTCAGCACGTACTAGCTTCTTCAAGGCTGGATCGAGATTAAGAAGGTGCTTATACTTGTGAATAATGCTCCCCATGTTGGGAAGTGCTGGATTCTGATCCATCACCATGGGTATTAGACAAGTAGTCGTCTCATCCTTATTTTTAGGGGCATACAAGTTTTTCCTATTGGTTATATCACTAAATTTGTTGAAAGCATCGTCTACAATACTAGAATGGTAACCACGGGCTACAAGGTAACCAGTATATACCTCCCTTTGCTCTAAGAAATTAGTGTCTTCACTATTGTTCTGCCTCACTCGCCTCGCCACACCATAGGGTATGTTTTTGAGAACATGGCTCCTATGACATGAGGTGGGGATGAGATAGCAGTGGGTGTCACTGGGCTTAGAGTAAAGTTTGGTATGAATAACATCGCCAACAGCATAGACATAGGTGTCTAAAAACTCAACACCATCCTTAGAGTAGTCGTAATTAAACACAAGGTCCGGATGGATACTATTGAGCCATTCCATAAATTGTAGAAGCTCCTCAACAGTACCAGGCCAGGCCATGTATATATCGTCACGCAACCTACCCCAGAATGCTGGTCTGTGTGGCGGACCATGTTCTAAATCTCTTTCATTAACTAAAATATCGATCTTATCCATTGCACAATCTGCATACTCACATGAGTTCTTAGGACCCATCGCCGCTCCACGCTCCTGACGGTATGTTATACCGTTGAACGAAGCTATGTTATAATCAAGAGTGATTTCTAGAGCACTAATAATGCATTCTGTACTGAACAATTGATCATAACTACTTCTTTCATTCAGGTGCTTGGTGCATTGTTGGATCCCCATATCCCTGGGGATATTGGTGAACATGTTGGATATATCTATGGCAACATGTATCACCTCCTTACCCAACAATATGGTGGACTCATTCAAGCTATCAATCTTCCTCAAAAAATGAGGGGTGTCAATAATTCTATAATCTAAAATAGCCTTCTTCAATTCGTATGCAGTCAGGGCAGATAGGTTCTCAATGTACGAACCACATCCAGTAGTAATCATCCTCCCAGGGTACAAAGGTGGCTTGTGGGCCTTGGGATTCAGGTACATATTACCAGGCTGGTTGAGCTCCGTACATGGAATAACCCACTCCCTGACCTTCTTAGACATACCTAATTCTTCTTTATACTTGACTGTCCAACATGAAATTTTATCAATTAATTCTGAAACTAAATCATCTACATTATTTACAATACTATATACAGATCTATCATTCAAATGTACACCTATTCGTTGAATATATTCTTCTATATATATATGCGAGAACAAACAAACAAACGAACAAACGAACCACCAACCTGTGACGTGGGACTGTCTGAAAGAAAGGAATGGGCGGGTATCGACAATAAGGGTGGGTTGAGCATGCTCCAGTAAATCTGACAGTTCGTCAATCCTGTAAAGATAGAGGTTATTAGAAATATTATTAGAAATTCTAAATAATTCTAAATAATACATCATCCCCAGAGAAGCATTAATATTTGCTACATGCCACAATTTATAAGAAAAGATTCAATTGAGCCGAATTGTTGGTCTGATCGATTAGACTTTTTAGGGTCATGTCATGGTCAAGTACAATATCTAATACACACAACACAAAGGTCTCTTAACGTCACGATGGTCGTCAGTCGTGAATAATGCAATGGTTACAGCTGGGTCTTCTACCACACCTTTCTGAGTGTTGCAACTTGCAACGATCAGTTACCACACCTTTCTGAGTGTTGCAACGATCAGTTACCACACCTTTCTGAGTGTTGCAACGATCAGTTACCACACCTTTCTGAGTGTTGCAACAATCAGTTACCACACCTTTCTGAGTGTTGCAACAATCAGTTACCACACCTTTCTGAGTGTTGCAACGATCAGTTACCAGAATTTTAACTTACATCATTTATAGACACTTATCTTATAAAAGAGCAGATGTAAAATTCCTGGCCTCACTAAGTCGTTACCAAATATCTCACAGCACTTTGTGTCGCAACAGCAACTGGTTGTTATGTTGTAACCCCTGCCTCACAACTCAGCCACAAGTGAAATTATGTTTGTTGTTTAACTTGCATACTTTAAGTTATAAAAACAGGGCCGTTCACCTAACATTCAGCTACAGTACACAGCGGAGGGGCACACATCCGTATCCAAACACACACATTTACACTGGCCCAACTGTCAAAATCACGTCTATTTTAACAAATAATCTAGACTATTTCAGTTTTCGCGGCTGTATTTTGAACAGGAAGCGTTGAATCTGCACTCGCTTCTCACACTGGCCAGGTTTCCGCGACACGGACACCACGTACGAGCATGTTTCCATGGAAACGCAGAGTCGCCATGTCAGGCAGAGTAACTACATTGCTGACTGTTTAACAGGACCTATCTATAGTTATTGTTGGGTGGGACCTGTCTGGGGTTGTTATAGTCTGTAGTTTTATATAGAGCGTGTGTCAGGGTGTTGTTAAAATGTTGTGAAACTACTCTGGGGACCCGTCCTAGGGACGTGGAGGGGGGGCACTGTTCGGGTTACTGGGTTATATTATGGGTTACTGGGTTATATTATGGGTTACTGGGTTATTATGGGTTATTATGGGTTATTGGATTGAGAGCACAGATAGGGAGATAAGGGTTAGAAAGGGAAAAGCGTGGGGTGCCCTACATAGACTGAAGGATATCTGGAAATCCAAACTCTCAAAGAGCCTAAAGATTAGATTGTTCATAGCGGCTTGTGAATCAGTACTGCTCTACGGATCAGAAACCTGGACACTGACAAAGGCTCAAGAGAAACGTTTGGACGGGACATACACAAAGATGTTGCGTATGGTGCTGGGTATCTCATGGAAGGACAAGGTCAGCAATATAACTTTGTATGATAGCCTCCCAAGGCTGTCAAACAAGTTACGAAGCAGGAGATTAAAAATGGCGGGACACTGCATCCGACATCCTGAGCTACTTGCCAGTGATTTAGTCTTATGGGAACCTACGCACGGTAGAGCACAGCAAGGCCGACCAAGACAAAGCTACTTGTCTATGTTACTGAAGGAAGTTGGGACAAACTCTAAAGAGGAACTGCGAACCCTGATGCGGGACAGGGATATATGGAGGGGGTTTTCTGGCGTAGATCGGACTTAGCTCCGACATAGTAGTATAGTAGTAGTAGTAGTAGTATGGGTTATTATGGGTTATTATGGGTTATATTATGGGTTATTATGGGTTATTATGGGTTATTATGGGTTATTATGGGTTATTATGGGTTATTATGGGTTATGGTGGGGTTGTGAAACAAGATGTGTCACGTGGTGTATTGTGTCACGTGATGTGATGTTGTTTGAGGATATGAAGACAAATACAACAAGATTTGAGCTAAAACACCATGTGATATGTGTCCAGAACCCCAATAAAACTAGTGATAGATCATATCAACGATTTCTAAAATCAGAGGACCATACACCAGCCATATACTGATACAGTTGCTAACGATAAGATAAAACCCAATTGATAGACAGATTGTTCCAATTGATGACCAATATGGACAAAAGTTTCAACATTTCTTGTACAAACTTTTCTTAAAGATGCAAGTATGAAGTGGACTTCAAATGAACAATAAACAATCCATAACATCAAAAGTTCTGACGAATAATTAGCTACCATTTGGTGTGGAGACCGACAGGACAACAACTAACCTCATTTTCAACGCCACACTTGATCAAGAAGTCAATAGTAGATTTCAATAGTAGATGTCAATAGTAGATGATGCGGGGGCACTTTTAACAATCTGAGACTTGTGATAGCTAAACAGAGCAGTTATGGTTACAATATGAAGAAAACTGAAGTTAAAGCAATTAAAATATCACAAATACTAAACAGCTGTAAAAGTCAGTATTTGTTCACAGTAAAATACTAAACATTAAATAATATACTCCCTCTAATACTCTAACTAACAATATGATAAAATGGAGAACAGGAAGAGTGAATGGCGAACTAGCTGTAGGAGCACGTGGGCGCTAGCACGTGGGCGCTATCAGGCTCGGAGAAATAGGGTAGAATATTGTAGGTATATATTTTATAGAATATTGCATCATAAATGGCAAGCATTTTGCTGCACTACTACTCTGTAACACATCACCTAATTGGCCCCACCCTGCGACCAGAGAGAGAGCGAGAGAGAGAGAGAGAGAGCAGCCAATCAGAAAGTTGAACTGTTGAAGTTGTTGTCCAATCAGAGGACAGAACAGCTGTTGTCGCTGTCCAATCACAGAGCGTGAGAGCTAATGTTGCTATCCAGTCAAATTACAAAAATGACTTAACGATTTTCAATTTAAGGGCGTGATGTTTTGCAGCAGATTGAATGCAGAATCGTTAGATAAGAAGCTCTAATTAGGAACCAAGAAAAGGAAGGATTTACGCAACGTCTGCAGTGAGACTGACCTACTTAAAAGACAATTTTAGGAGGAGTGACTTTCAGATCCACTGTTGGGCAAATATAAGTCTGCATCATAGGCTCCCAGTTCAACTCACGTGACACATGTGATCTTCCAATCACAGAGTACTTCCTGCACACACGTGACCTCGCCCCTCTACACACGTGACCTCGCCCCTGCACACACGTGACCTCGCCCCTCTAGTTGCATGGGAAATTGCGCAAGGCACTCTGCTTCTAAAACCAAGCGGAAGCACTTACTCACTTATTAGGTACAGTCACGAATTTTTATTTATCAGGGATGCCAAATCAGGTGTGCCAAATCAGATATGCCAATTCAGATATATCAAATCAGGTGTGCCAAATCAGATATGCCAAATCAGATATATCAAATCAGGTATGCCAAATCAGGTGTGCCAAATCAGATATGCCAATTCAGATATATCAAATCAGGTATGCCAAATCAGGTGTGCCAAATCAGATATATCAAATCAGATATATCAAATCAGGTATGCCAAATCAGGTGTGCCAAATCAGATATGCCAAATCAGATATATCAAATCAGGTATGCCAAATCAGGTGTGCCAAATCAGATATGCCAATTCAGATATATCAAATCAGGTATGCCAAATCAGGTGTGCCAAATCAGATATGCCAATTCAGATATATCAAATCAGGTATGCCAAATCAGGTGTGCCAAATCAGATATGCAAAATCAGATATGCCAAATCAGGTATGCCAGACCTGTTAAAATGATATGAGCGTTATATCGAGAGGGGGACAGCATCTAAATTGGTTACACACCACGACCCAACATGGTATCTTATTACAGGTCCCTCACAAAATCTCACACCCTCTCTCTCCACCATCCTTACTCTGACCACCACCCATTTCAACAGTCTGCAATAAGAATCAAGGAGTAAAACTGTAAATATGTTTTGAGACTAAGTAATATGTAAAGAGACTAAGTTTTAAGAGAAGAACAACAAAATGTATAGACTAAGAGAGGGCTAGCACGTTAAGTGCACATCATTATATGGTCTGTTGCTCGCTGGCTAGCTTCCAACTCAACACAGCAGGACCTTCCTATTTTCCCTTCTTATTATTATGTATCTAGTTACAAGAATTCATTTAACTGAAGTGAAAACTGAAAAGTTGGCCCTGATCTCATGGTGATCCTTATGTTTATGTTGAGAAATTCCGGTGGTTTCATGTCTCAAGCTGACATATCTACCCGGTTTTAACTACCGGTATATACCAACCAGTTGACAAGTTCAGCCAGTCCTACAGCCAGTCTTACAGCCAGTCTTACAGCCAGTCTAACGACTTTAACTAACTTAACTTTTCAGAAAAACGTCCCGAGTTATTAACAAACTGAAAGAACAAGGAGAGACAGGACGAAAACACAAAAGTTAGCTCACAATCTGAAGGCAGACTAGGGTGGGAGACTGTCAAAACCCGGGGGAGTGTTTTAATTATTTCGTACAGTTTTGGCTAGGTCATAAAAACACTGGGGTTCCTGGAGTTGTTAATGCCTTATATGGTAGTGAAACAGATCGCACCTTCAGTAATAATAGAGCAAACATCATCGGTGGAATAACCTTGCTTGTTGATATCTGTTGGTCACGTGCAGGTTTGACAGATCACGCCTGGGCTGGCATTCATTAGAAGTTGTGGAACTGTTTGTAACACTTTATTTAGTTCTGACTTATTAGTACCTTAGATCATTTCAGATGTTAGGAAGTGTTCAGATTTGAGCATTGCGAGCTGGGTACATAGTTTCTCCTAGTTCATTTAGTTTTGCTAAGTCCGACTACAAACAGCAACAACAAAAAGAAGTCCGACTACCGAAATGTTAACCCCGGACTCCGGGGTAACATAAATAGATATTATTTAATATTTACTCAAAATAGTACGATCTAAAAACCTAGAATCTTCCAGAGAGAGAGAGAGAGAGAGAGAGAGAGAGCAATGATTTAAGAGGTGCCATAGCATAGCTGATATTAACATCCTAGTGGCTAGTTACCAAAACAGAACATTTGCGCTTAAAACCAACTAACAAATATAGTGTTACACAACACTGATAACAGTAGCTTATGGAATGTATTTAATTCCAGCCCCAATGAGATATAACGTGTGTAAAATACACATCACGTGACTTTAAGTCACGTGGTCTGTACAAGACTTACACTCACCACGTCACGTGCTATAGTTGCTATAATTCTACTTTTTATACCGAGTCTGCCAGCTCACACTCTCACGTACACACGTACTATTCTGTGTAGATGTGACGTGGTGGTACTCAGACTGTGTATTTGAGCTACTAGTAGCTGAAGAATTGTCTGTATTGATAGATACAGACATCTACATTCTACGATGTGCATCCTATCTGTGTACAGTATATCCTACTGTAGACAACTACACGTCTAGATCCTACTGTAGACGATACCGTAGACAAGAAATAAATTATATAGCTGTAGAAGCTGTAAGTTGGGCGACACTACAAAAACAAATATTTCTTTCAACCATTCGTTATAGCAACAATGGGTTATTGATAAGTTAATTAAGATAGGGCGTGGCCACTTTAACTTTTAAATAGTTTCATCTACCCTAATTGCCAAGATATAATATTAATTAACAATAAATTACAAAGCACTGACAACATATCAATAAAGGAGGAGAATAAAGACAGAAGGCAGAGCACATGCTAACAGAAAACAGACCCCAGTCTGGTCCTGGTCCCTACAAGTCTTACAGTTAAACATCCTAACAATAACGATAATGAGCCGCGCACCTTGTCTCCCTGGTAACCCGGCACACACCCCTCATCTAATGTAATCAACCTAATGTCAAACTAGATATCATTAGGTAACAGTAAATTGGGGAGTGGCTCTGTCAGACCAGCTTATTTCCTTGATTGCAATACGAGATATATAATATAATACGGTCACCTTGCTAATGGAGACAGGTATTAGCCAGCTTGGTTACTAGGTAACATGTATTAGTGTAGTGGTGTCACTGGTGGTAATCGGGATGGTTGCTAGGTAACGGACTGGTTGCTAGGTAACGGACTGATTGCTAGGTAACGGACTGGTTGCTAGGTAACGGACTGATTGCTAGGTAACGGACTGGTTGCTAGGTAACGGACTGATTGCTAGGTAACGGACTGGTTGCTAGGTAACGGACTGATTGCTAGGTAACGGACTGGTTGCTAGGTAACGGACTGGTTGCTAGGTAACGGACTGATTGCTAGGTAACGGACTGATTGCTAGGTAATGGACTGGTTGCTAGGTAACGGACTGGTTGCTAGGTAACGGACTGATTGCTAGGTAATGGACTGGTTGCTAGGTAACGGACTGATTGCTAGGTAACGGACTGATTGCTAGGTAATGGACTGGTTGCTAGGTAACGGACTGGTTGCTAGGTAACGGACTGATTGCTAGGTAACGGACTGATTGCTAGGTAACGGACTGGTTTGATAAACTGTGTAATGAATTACACCAGATTGGACCTGCTTACCTGATAGGCTGATCAAATCACTAGCAGTGGGCTGGCATTGCACGTCAAATTTAAAGGCAACTGGAAATAGAATTAATATTACTATGTCAATGTATATTGTATATGTTTTGTTAACAGGGTTTAGACCCTTATATTATCATGATAATAATCATAGAGGTAGGCTTCAGAAAGTTATAGATCTAAATATTAGGACTAGGTTAAAATAATACAAATAGTTCAAATACCATTGAACACCTAACTATATCAAAGTATAAGAAAGTTTTGCAGTTGAGCACTATTAATCCACAAAGTATACGGAAAGTTAAGCTAATGAATAAGGGTGTTACCCGATTTAATACGCTGATTAAAAGACTTGATATTATGCGAGAGTACTATCCCGTCACCTAGTAACCAGCGAGAGTGCAAGTCACGCGACCCGAGTGTAGTCACGTGATAATGTTATATCTACTTTGCAGTGGGTGCGGTCGCTGGGTGAAGTGAACAAACCATCCTGTTTTAAAGCTTATGATTGTTAGGTATTATAAACTTAACAATTCTGGCTCCGAAATAGTTTATTTAACTTTAATACATGTTCAGATTCTTGTGTCACCTCCACAACCCCACTCCTTATCAAATACCATAAAATGTGAAATAAACACAGCCAGAATCCACAGCTGTTAACCACCACATACCGACCATTCAAGGAAACTAGGATACTCCGAACTAGAATTGACGATCAACTTCTTACAGCTTACCTAGAATAGGTACTGAAAGTTCTGGATTACTACCCGTCTCAGACAGCAAAGTAGTGATATGTTTATATGTATTTTATCTTAAACTACAATCCCATTAAAATATTCTCTTCAAGCTGAATCTCCTATTTAAAAAGAGTCGAAGGAAAAATTTAATGATTGAAACTGTCGAGAACTGTAAAGAGCTTGCAATTTATGGGATACACTATGTTCAACCTGTAATAACTACGGGCGACTTATACGAACAAATTGAAGGCTTGCACGGCACCCACAACCTCACTGTTCCTAGAAACGGTCAGATCTCCCGAATAGGTTCTCACATTATTCACTCACGTACTCTAATATTCAACTATTTATAATGCCTGGTACGGAAAATGAACTACGCAGCTTGAATACTCTTATCCTACAATATCCAAAATTATCCTACAATACCCAACAATGTCCTACAATATCCAACAATGTCCTAAAATATCCTACAGTATTTCAGCACTAAAACAAATGTAGTTTTTACAGAGACAGAGGGTGTGGTCGCCAGCTAACAACTCTGATTACACATCACTTATCACCGAATTATAGGAATTATGGTTCGTTTACACTAACTCTGCGCTCTGGTCGGTCTAAAATCCTGGTTCTTCTGTGGAAACTAAGCTCACTTACTAACGAAAACCCTGGAAAATTAGGTCACTAAATAACTAAAACCCTGGATAATAAGGTCACTAAATAAATAAAGCTAATTTAGTTTACTAGTGCGAAAACTAAGCTCCATAACTAAAATCCTGGTTCTTAAGCATATTGACTAATTAAAACCCTGGAAATAAGGTCACTAACTAACTAAAACTAGTTTACTATTGCGAAAAAAAGCTACATAACTAAAAGCCTGGTACAAGTCTAGAAACTAAACTAGTCGTTGTTGTGTAACATTTCAGCTGATTATTGTAGGCTTCACGGACCACGTCTCAAAAGGGTTTTTCTCTCTTTTCAAAGGGGTTTTCTCTCTTTTCAAAGGGGTAAGTTCTCAAAGGAGGATACCTTTGATCTGTCAGCTAGAACCTTTGTACGGGTCTTTGTTAACGTTAACGGGTCTAAAATCTCATTACTTGCACACCTTATGGTAATCCTTGTAATAAGAGATACGTATCAAATTATTGCATCACATACATACAACGTAAATTTGGTGCATGTTTTAAGACACAGCAATATTAGGATTGTTCGGTACAACGATCACTACACCCCGTGTTGGAAGTGTTGCTGAAGCACCAGGTAGCGGCTCACCTCGCACTGTCGCCGGTAAAACCGGTTCACGCACTATGTTACGACAACACTTTATTACGACAGACTATAGCCCCACCCTGAACCTTAACCCTAACCCTAACCCTCACCCTCACCCTATTCCGAACCCATTACATGAAAACCTTGTCGAAATATAGTGCGCTCACCGTAATACCAATCCCTATTTACACTGCTATTTGAAACAGATAGCCAAAATAAAAGTTAAACGAACACATATTGCTGTCCAATGTCCTAAACAATTAATCCTACTGAAAAGGCAGCATCTACTGAAGTAGCACAGATGTACTGTGGTAGCAAACATGTACTGATCCCCCCTCAAAATAAAACAAGATAAGGAAATTCTCAGCATACAACATAATTAAAAACCACATTCCCGCTGCATACCAAGGAAGATAAGGCGAGTAGCGAATTGGTATACAGCTAATTACGCTAACAACTTTACCCACTTATAATGTGAATTACACAAGGGGCGTGGCCGCTCTAGGAGCACTGGGTGTATATATTACACCTAACTAGATAGTAGGAAGTTAAACTTCCCACCGGGCTGAGAAATATCGTGTAAGAGATATATATATAAAGTGGTGAATTCCTGAGTGTATTAGTACATAGAGAGGATGGGATACATGTATACTATGCGAATAATAGTGATTCACAAAACGGAGAGGAGTCAGGTGTATTGTTCTCTTATTTGATTACATTTGTTGTGGTGGTTTAAACTTGGGTTGGCATCAAGAATGCAATGTGACAAAGAGCAGGTGTTGCCCACAAAAATACGATTCTTAAAACAATGTTTTAACGATTATATAGACTGTGAAGATGTCAGACAGTAAATTATTATTATTATCGTTTTGTTGTCGAGAATAAAACGTTTAAACGACACAAACCTCTGACAAAACCCGGACAAAATCATGGTTACTGACTCTCGGAAATGAAACTTCGACGACAGGGAAGTTAAAAGACATGAATAACGTAACTGTCGGGTGAGCGGTCTTGTAATCAAACCGTATAGCGGTTGTCCAGGAAGCCAGATAATGATTGAATCGCGGCGAGGAAGCTGGTGAATCTAAATACATGGGTTGGTCGTGCAACTCAACGGTGATCTTATTGACAACGTGGACTATGAACAATGTATGTTGAAATTAACATAGTTTTGAATGGCATGTAACAAATAGCGAACATACAGGACACAATATGCCCAATGTACTGATCCAGACTTACCTGATGGAGTCCGCTTCAAAAGAACGCATCTCGGGATGAAACGGAAGTACAAACGAAAGTTATGCAACAAAAGTGAGATGAGTTAGAGCAAGCAGATGATCGGTAAAATAAGCAGCTAAAATACACGACACAAAAAAGTGGGGTGGTGTAAAAAGTAGCGCTAGCTAGTAAAGGAAATGTGTGACCTGCCTACTAACAATTATCCCTAACTTGGTAAAATATAACGCGCGCTCCACTGGATTAAGGTGGAGAGCTAAGATGTCACGTGCCCACGTGACTACGTGTCACGTGATTGACCCGCGCCAAGGTCGAGCGTCCAGCGGTCAGATCACGTGCCCACGTGACAACGTGTCACGTGGTTGAGTACGAACACGTGACGCGTCCTTGCTTAATATCTGTATCAGGAGAGAGTGCGCTCCAAACAGCAGCCTATTGGTACTTCCTAGCAATAACCACGTGACTTCTCCCAGTCCAATGGGGCACCAAGAAATGGCATGGTAACCAGTGGCTGCCCTAAAAACTCCAAAACTGCCAGTGAGAGGGGCGGAAGCTGAACACGTGACGTTACTAATTGAACGACCTGTATCCCTCCCTGTTGCTCTATTTACTCAGCTCTGATCTCAAAGAAGCCAGGGGAGTGCAAGACACTGAGAACTGCTGGCAGCTACACCAAAACATGCTCACACCTCGTGACCCACCACGCGGTATGTCATGTGACTCCGCCCAACACGATATCTTAGTGACAGGTAATAAGGATATTGGGTAATACCTAAACTGCACAGTGCAGCAGGCTATGACACAATGAGAAATAGCGCAGGGTATGCAGCAGCAGCGCTGAGATGGAGTCATGGCTCGACCAGGCTGGGCGTGGACTGTACGGTGTTAAAAAACCCCGCATAATTGCAAAACTTCACCGTGTTCATTTTATTATAGAGTGGCATGGAATCCGTACGTTAACAATTAGTTGATAGTGTCATGGAAGTGATAAACCTTTCGTCAAATTGAAAGGAGAAGTGTTTTGTACTTCAGTTCGGTATGCGGCCACCCCGTGAGGCGTGGACTCGGCTAGTTAGACAGCTCCCCGACCGGCTGGTTGTCATGGCAACGGGAGGTCAGTGGGAGTTGTCGAACAGAGGTGTGGGCTCTCTGACATTCATCTACTTTCTGAAGAAAGCTTCTCAATCAGACAGACTAGAATGAATTTGACAGGTCAAGTTGTGAGGTAACAATAAAGCCGCCAGACTGACTGGTAACAGGGGGTGGACTGGTAGGGCGGGGGTGGACTGGTAGGGGGGGGGGGGGGGTGGACTGGTAACAGGGGGTGGACTGGTAGGGCGGGGGTGGATTGGTAACAGGGGGTGGACTGGTAGGGCGGGGGTGGACTGGTAGGGGGGGGGGGTGGACTGGTAACAGGGGGTGGACTGGTAGCAGGGGGTGGACTGGTAACAGGGGGTGGACTGGTAACAGGGGGTGGACTGGTAAGGGGGGTGGACTTGTAGGGGGGGCTGGACTGGTAACAGGGGGTGGACTGGTAACAGGGGGTGGACTGGTAACAGGGGGTGGACTGGTAGGGCGGGGTGGACTGGTAGGGGGGCGGGGGTGGATTGGTAACAGGGGGTGGACTGGTAGGGGGGCGGGGGTGGACTGGTAACAGGGGGTGGACTGGTAGGGCGGGGGTGGATTGGTAGGGGGGGTGGACTGGTAACAGGGGGTGGACTGGTGACAGGGGGTGGATTGGTAACAGGGGGTGGACTGGTAGGGCGGGGGTGGACTGGTAAGGGGGGTGGACTGGTAACAGGGGGTGGACTGGTAACAGGGGGTGGATTGGTAACAGGGGGTGGACTGGTAGGGCGGGGGTGGACTGGTAGGGGGGGGGTGGACTGGTAACAGGGGGTGGACTGGTAGGGCGGGGTGGATTGGTAACAGGGGGTGGAATGGTAGGGCGGGGGTGGACTGGTAGGGGGCGGGGGTGGACTGGTAACAGGGGGTGGACTGGTAGGGCGGGGGTGGATTGGTAACAGGGGGTGGACTGGTAGGGCGGGGGTGGACTGGTAGGGGGGGGGTGGACTGGTAACAGGGGGTGGACTGGTAGGGCGGGGGTGGATTGGTAACAGGGGGTGGACTGGTAGGGCGGGGGTGGACTGGTAGGGGGGTGGACTGGTAACAGGGGGTGGGCTGGTAGGGCGGGGGTGGACTGGTAACAGGGGGTGGACTGGTAGGGGGGCGGGGGTGGATTGGTAACAGGGGGTGGATTGGTAACAGGGGGTGGACTGGTAGGGCGGGGGTGGACTACCTACCTTGGGTACCTTGGGTTCGTTTCGGGCTAGCACGCCCAGGCCAAGACATCTTGCGTCTCCACCACCGGTGTCTCCGTTATCATGTCTTGCTCACAGCCCATTCCAAGATTGAATTGCCATTAGCCCCTGTATATCCAGGGGTAGGAGGGGTGTCGGGGACGGTATGAAGAAAGCGATCAAGTGCTGCCTTGAATTTTGGCAAGGTTGGGATAGACTTGATGTCGTGAGGCACAACGTTATACAAAGCAGAGGCCACTGAAGGGAAAGAATGGAACCTCATGGTGTTGATGCTTTTGTATTTTGATCCGCCAAGAGGACGAAGACATGTAACTCCTCTTCTATGAGAGTGTTGGAAAGAAATGTTTACACTGTTGGGAATCTCACCGTAGTAAATTTTCCAGACAAGGATGATCATGTACCTCTCGCGGCGGCGCTGTAGGGAGTAGAGATCAAGCTGCTTCAGGCGCTCCCAGTAGCTAAGATGCTTGTATCCTGCTATTTTCGCAGTGAATGAGCGTTGGATCGACTCAATCATGATTATGTCACACTGCAGGTGAGGCGACCAGAGAGCACAACAATACTCGGTAATAGAGCGGACGTATGTCTTGAAGAGCATCAGCATCGTGTCTTTGTCTCTGGTAGAGAAAGTTCTCAGTACCCATCCAGCTTTGCTCGCTGCCTCAGAGGACTTTCTTGTGATGTGTTGACGCCAGGAGAGATCACTGTCAACATACACACCGAGATCTTTCACGACATCATCAGAAGATATCGATGCACCAGATGGTAAAATGTAGGGTTTCTTTAGCTCAGGGTTCTTACCATGCTGGAGAAGTTGGAATTTACTTTCGTTTAGCTCCATGTTGTTTGCTACTGCCCATCGCACTACTGCACAGAGATCTTCCTGGAGACATTTGCAGTCGGACGGGGAGCTGATGTTTTTGTGGAGCTTGGAGTCATCAGCAAACACTTTTACTTTGCAATGTTTTACAACTAGGAACAGGTCGTTGATATACAAAATAAATAGCAGTGGGCCTAACACAGTGCCCTGTGGTACCCCACTTAGGGGGGTGGACTGGTAACAGGGGGTGGACTGGTAGGGCGGGGGTGGATTGGTAACAGGGGGTGGACTGGTAGGGCGGGGGTGGACTGGTAGGGGGGCGGGGGTGGACTGGTAACAGGGGGTGGACTGGTAGGGCGGGGGTGGATTGGTAACAGGGGGTGGACTGGTAGGGCGGGGTGGACTGGTAGGGGGGGGTGGACTGGTAACAGGGGGTGGACTGGTAGGGCGGGGGTGGATTGGTAACAGGGGGTGGTCTGGTAGGGCGGGGGTGGATTGGTAACAGGGGGTGGACTGGTAGGGCGGGGGTGGACTGGTAGGGCGGGGGTGGACTGGTAACAGGGGGTGGACTGGTAACAGGGGGTGGACTGGTAACAGGGGTGGATTGGTAACAGGGGGTGGACTGGTAACAGGGGGTGGACTGGTAGGGCGGGGGTGGATTGGTAACAGGGGGTGGACTGGTAGGGCGGGGGTGGACTGGTAGGGCGGGGGTGGACTGGTAACAGGGGGTGGACTGGTAACAGGGGGTGGAAAATTGAAAATAGGAAAGTTGTACACGTATGACCACGCCCAAATCGACCGGAAATCGCTAAAATCACTGTGAATTAAGTAGGTCAGCATTACTTTTCGTAAATATTATGGTTTATTTTTTGACCGAAATTATGAAGGAAAAAAAACTGCCAGATTCGTCTCCTGTGGGCATAATCAGGGCCGGCAAGCTTAGGGCCGAACAGATTGACGAGAAATAATTTATGTACTGTCTGACAAATTGAAGGGTGTGAATTTTTGAGCTACTGACAAATTTTTTTAAACGTCTCAATTTTCGTACCACCTCAGTTTTCGTACCACCTCAAATTTCGTACCACCACAATTTTCGTACCACCACAATTTTCGTACCACCAGTTTTAATTAGACGATGGTTCATGGTATGATATGAACACCACAAGTGAAACACGATATTATGATTGATCAAATTGTAAAATAATTAGAAAATGTGACTCACGAATTTGAGATAACATTCAATTTGATCGCAGCATTGCAAAAAGCGAGAAGCTCAATGACAATAAAATCACCAAAACATCATCTTCTAAACTTTTGATGTCTGTGGGGGTACGGGGTTACTTTGACAAAAGTAGCCCCCTCCTCCCCTCACTACATTCTAACTCTATCAATAGTCTGAGGAGCATTTGTTAGCTTCGCTGAATCCTGACTTTAAAAGCGCTGCTTCCAATAAAGCTAGTGGTAGCTGGTTCTACACTAATGCTCGCACAACCTCGCAAAGGATTCCCAATTAAATAACACAGGTGTTTGTTGATGCGTTTACTCTTTATGACTAATCAGTAATCAGTAAAAATATGTTGTCACGTACCAAGTTGTCACACACAAAGTCCTGATCCCATATGTTTACAGACATTGTCAGCAAGTTTAACAGCAATCACCGTACAATGAAAATATCAAAGAAAATCGGCGGTTTATAACGGCAATTAAATTAAAGTTTTCCTCAAAACATTTTACCGCTTGTACGCGTGCTTTCTCAAAGCATGCCATCAGGTGTCAGTTTTTTACTTGCAAGGGTGTAATTGCAACTCAAACTTGAACGAAACATTTAATTACAAAATAAGCTCTATTTTTATAATATAAACGTGATTAAGGCACAGCAAACATGAGGAGGTGAATTGCTTAAAAATGATTAATTATATACGAAAAATGTTTAAATTTTAATCAAATACATAAAAATAGGTCTCGAGGATCAAATTCAACGTTGCCTTCTACATTTTATAACAAGTCCATTTTACTTCGGTGAATAATAAACAAGATCAAATAAACGAGGTAAAATAATCAGCAAAGTAACAAATAAACGGTAATATCACAGTACAGCAGACGGTTTCAAATACAAAGTCGCAAATTTCAGTCAGCAGGCTACAAGATAATCATACAATTACACAATCATACAATTACATAATCATACAATTATATAACCATCTTATCATCTATTGAATGAACAATTCAGTTAACTAATAATAATGAACTATCTTCACAAACATGACGTGTACAACCAACACTGGGTTCGAATGTCATTTTCGACGGTAATCAGTTTGGGAATGTAATAGTTCAATGATGAGCAAGCTTAGGGATGCTTTAGGTAGGGGTCTTTTGATGCGAGGGAGTCCCTAGAGCTGTGGATACTTTTCAAGTAATCTAATAAATAGTCAGAACTCTGAAAGTATGTAGGTTGTGAATTTAACTTGCGTCTTAGTTAGAGCAGCATGATACCAAACATTTTCTTCTATTAAATGTTACAAAAGTGGCGAAATTGGCAAATATTTCTCACTCAAACCGCTAATGATTTCAATTATTACCTTGTGATTGCAGCGACAGTGATTTTCCTTACACCCGGTTTCTTTGATCTTTTTGAGCTTGGCATCTGAGCTAGCCAGATAGATTTGTAGAGTGAAGCCCATGATTGCTAATATCACAAAGAATGAAAATATCACAATGTCTGAAATTAAGGAGTCATTAGCGTTTGGTAAACATTAGAGATTAACATTATCATTTTATTGTCGGCAGTCACTTTATGTTTAAACCTTTCAATAGTTTAACCTTGTTGTTTTTTACCGATGAAATACTATGGTATTCTATTGCTTTTTTAAACACCGTTTCATTTAAAACAGTCTTGGAAGTTCGCGTTTAATTTATAAGTTTAAACACATGTGCGCGCGCGTCGAGTTTTACCGCGCGCAGCAAATACGATTTCTTATTTTGTTAGGAATATTCTTTCGCGCGTTCCTATAACTTTATAATTCATCAAATTTTAGCAAGCAAACTAGCGGAATAAATAATTTAATAGTTCACCTTACAGGAGAATTCTATCAAGCATTAATCTCATTATTGAATCCTAAATTTAGTCTAAAATGTGCCTCCCATGTTGAAATGTAATAAGAAGACAGCTTGATACTGAATAACCATTAATAATTCACAATTATTTTTAAAACAAGAATTAAACAAAACAGAAAAAATACCAAAAATACCAAGATAAACAAACCATATAGAGTGTAGATTCTGAAGAAGTTAGGATGATGCCCGTGCGCAGTTCCCATGCCAAACTCATCTCGGATGTGATCTTGTATCTGCACGATTAACACTTCAATTCCACCACTGAAGTTCGTCTGAGCGAAATAGTCCACCGCTGAGAAATGATAACCGTTTAGAAGTGATTATTATGCTCAGTTACTAGATCACTATACTAGATTAGTGGATAGAAAATATTATACCAGTTCCACGTTAGTCGATGTTAAGAATGAGAAATGTTTCATGGGAGGGTTTCACAGGACTAAACCAACTGTCTGATAATTGGACACATTCAGTGTTCACATTTTATTACTAAGATACGTCAATCGGAATAAACGTTCGAAAATTCGAGAAACTACTTGTTGAACGACCAGTCTGTTTACTATATTTTCATTTCTCCTCGTCTGTTTATCAGTATTTACTATTTAGTACGGTATATACTAAAATGAACATGATTACTGTAGGCTATTATCGAGGTATGGTGTTATTATTTATATGCCATTTTCAACAGTCTACATTGACACTATACGTACAGACATTGCTGTCTAGAAAGACACATTCTTACAGACAAGCTTGAAAACAAAATCTTCGGAAACTTCAGTTCAGATTGAGAGTTCGGATTGAGAGTTCGGACGACTGAGAGTTCGGACTGAGAGTTCGGACTGAGAGTTCGGACTGAGAGTTCGGACTGAGAGTTCGGACTGAGAGTTCAGACTGGAGTTCAGACTGAGAGTTCAGACTGAGAGTTCAGACTGAGAGTTCAGACTGAGAGTTCAGACTGAGAGTTCAGACTGAGAGTTCAGACTGAAAGTTCAGACTGAGAGTTCAGACTGAGAGTTCAGACCGAGAGTTCAGACTGAGAGTTCAGACTGAGAGTTCAGACTGAGAGTTCAGACTGAGAGTTCAGACTGAGAGTTCAGACTGAGAGTTCAGACCGAGAGTTCAGACCGAGAGTTCAGACCGAGAGTTCAGACCGAGAGTTCAGACCGAGAGTTCAGACTGCGAGTTCAGACTGAGAGTTCAGACCGAGAGTTCAGACTGGGAGTTCAGACTGGGAGTTCAGACTGGGAGTTCAGACTGGGAGTTCAGACTGAGAGTTCGGACTGCGAGTTCAGATTGAGAGTTCGGATTGAGAGTTCGGACGACTGAGAGTTCGGACTGAGAGTTCGGACTGAGAGTTCGGACTGAGAGTTCGGACGACTGACAGTTCGGACTGAGAGTTCGGACTGAGAGTTCGGACTGAGAGTTCGGACTGAGAGTTCAGACTGAGAGTTCAGACTGAAAGTTCAGACTGAGAGTTCAGACTGAGAGTTCAGACCGAGAGTTCAGACTGAGAGTTCAGACCGAGAGTTCAGACCGAGAGTTCAGACCGAGAGTTCAGACTGCGAGTTCAGACTGAGAGTTCAGACCGAGAGTTCAGACCGAGAGTTCAGACGGAGAGTTCAGACTGGGAGTTCAGACTGGGAGTTCAGACTGGGAGTTCAGACTGGGAGTTCAGACTGCGAGTTCAGACTGAGAGTTCAGACTGGGAGTTCAGACTGAGAGTTCAGACTGGGAGTTCAGACTGAGAGTTCAGACTGAGAGTTCAGACTGAGAGTTCAGACTGAGAGTTCAGACTGAGAGTTCAGACTGAGAGTTCAGACTGAGAGTTCAGAATGAGAGTTCAGACTGGGAGTTCAGACTGAGAGTTCAGACTGGGAGTTCAGACTGAGAGTTCAGACTGAGAGTTCAGACTGAGAGTTCAGACTGGGAGTTCAGACTGAGAGTTCAGACTGCGAGTTCAGACTGAGAGTTCAGACTGAGAGTTCAGACTGAGAGTTCAGACTGGAGTTCAGACTGGGAGTTCAGACTGGGAGTTCAGACTGGGAGTTCAGACTGGGAGTTCAGACTGGGAGTTCAGACTGAGAGTTCAGACTGAGAGTTCAGACTGAGAGTTCAGACTGAGAGTTCAGACTGAGAGTTCAGACTGAGAGTTCAGACTGAGAGTTCAGACTGAGAGTTCAGACTGAGAGTTCAGACTGAGAGTTCAGACTGAGAGTTCAGACTGAGAGTTCAGACTGAGAGTTCAGACTGAGAGTTCAGACTGAGAGTTCAGACTGAGAGTTCAGACTGAGAGTTCAGACTGAGAGTTCAGACTGAGAGTTCAGACTGAGAGTTCAGACTGCAATACAAATTTGAATCTTGCAGAGAATGTTGCCATGTGCCTAAATAATTTAAAATATTATCCATGTGGAAAATGGAAATTATAAATACACTTCACGAGATCATCAAAAGTAAATATTAAGATTATTTATAGTTTAAAACATCGGAGTTATACTGGTTACTAAACTCTGCGACTTTAAATCATCCACTTTCTGATCTCTGGTATGTAGATTCTACAATCTACATGTCACCTTTATTTGCTGACAACTAATTTATGATAATTTAAAATGTGTCTGAACACAGTAGGAAACCTACAATATCCTCATTTATTCCCATTATATATTCTGTTATCTAGTAGTGTTGAAAATATTAATGTAAATCTGTAGATGTTGTTACGTAAATCTGTCCAAATATATCCACCATTCTATTTTTATCAAGTTGTGCTATATTTGTGAAGTATAGCACCGTTTGTGTCACATGATTTTGATAAAATGTTGCCAGACTTTAAACCTATTCGCTGCCTACAGCCTAACCAAGACCAAATTAGAGTCCTTCATTGTGGAATGACAAAAACAATGCTTTTAGTTTCAATTTTAGATAGACAAACACGATACAAACAGTGTTCCCCTAAGTGGTGACCATGATGAGCTCCTTTTCTTCTTTCAGTAAATCATAAACCATGAGATAGGTCAGTGCAAGGTCTGTATAAGCCGAATCTCTTGGTTTTACGTAATTTAAGTAGCCTTGACACCTAAATCACGCAGGTTGAATACTATAATCTATAATCTATATTATATAAATTTATCACGGGTTACACTAGTCTTAATAAAGAGAGTTTAAACCCACACTCCAGCTATCTAACATCATAATCGTTCTCAACCTTATAATATCAGCATGACAAAACCGAGGCTAGAATATTAGAACGTATAATGGTTTTGGCGTCAAATTATCTCTAGTTAATCTTTATCTTGATCTCCCTCATGTTTAAATGAAATAGCTGCTCTTATCCTGCATTCTAGACTAATCCTTAATCCTGTATGCACAGTTATAGTTTATACTGCAAGTGAACGAGCGAGGGTAGCAGTAACTCTAAAACCTTTGCATAAATTCATTTCTCCGTATCGAGATTTCAATACCCCAGTCACAGAGCCTGGAAAAGAAGATTTTCTGGAGAACTTGGTGAAATTTCTGACCTAGTACATAAAAGGTACAGGGTAGGTCAATTCTAGATACACTTTATTTCTCTTTTGTATGGTTCGTGCTGTTCTGTAAATTTCGTTTCTGTATTTTACCTTTCCCCTATTAAACCCTGATAATAAACTGGAGGGGTGTTCTTGGAACATATAAATTATAGTTTACAAACCAACTGCTGAGTCTCGTGAGAGAGCTAAGAGGTCGCCAGACATCTCATTTTAAAGCCGTATCGATTTTCTGTACGCATCGATTTTCTGTACGCATACCAAAAATCAAATGCGTAACTAAAACAGAAATGAAATTACAGAAGTTTTAAATGTTTTGTCAACAAAACGAATGTTTTGTCAACAACGAATGTTTTGTCAACAACGAATGTTTTGTCAACAAAACTCCTTGACAGCCCACGTTATCTTATACCATTTCTTGCTTGCTCCCACATCAAACTTTTCTTTGTAATTATCTCCTCATGGTTTATAAGAAATGTTCTTCTCCCTGGTAAGATGAATAGAGTCAAGTATTCCAGCCGCCTCAGGCGTCTTGTCTCTTTATTCATTCTTTGGGTTTTCTCTCTTAACTTTCTTTTGATAACTCTTGTTAATCCTTCTATGCTTAATCCAGGTCCCAACTCCCTATCTGTACTCTACCAAAATGTCCAAGGTCTTATTCCTTTCAGTAACCTAAGCTCCTCCCATCCCCTTCTTGATGGTAATAAGATTTCCGAACTTCAATCCTTTGCTAACATAGAGCAGCCTGACATAATTGCCCTAAATGAGACTTGGCTCAAAAAGTCTATTTCTAGCAACGAAATCTTTCCTTCTTCTCAATATGAAATCTTCCGCAATGACCGCACGAGAAAGACTCATCCTCAAGATCCTAATAACCCTAAAAAGTTTAGGGAAAATGGAGGTGGTGTTCTTTTGGCTGTTCGGTCTGATCTCGACGCCACTACAACCCGACTACCAGTTAGCCTAGGTGCAGAAATGCTTGCCGTTAAAATTGCTTTTCCTAACAAAGAGAGTATTGTAATCTGTACTTGTTATAGAGTAGGAACTCTTGGGTTACCTAATCATGATGTCATAGTTAGTTATATTCGCAAGCTAGTTTCCAAAAAGAATCCCCCTAAAATCTATGTTATTGGTGATTTTAATCTCCCCCATACAGACTGGCTATCTTCATCCAGTACCGTACCTATTGAGCAATCCTTCATAGATTCTTTCAGTGATCTTTCTCTCTCCCAGTTGATCACATCACCCACCCATAAAAGTGGTAATACATTAGACATTCTTCTCAGTAATTATGATAACACAATTGATAACTTGAATGTCTGTGATCCTCATTTCGTGTGCAAATCTGATCATTTTCCTGTCGCTTTTTCAATTAAAAGCTCCTTTTCCCGTAAGAAAACTCCTAAACGTAAAATCTATAATTTTAAGAAAGCAAACTGGGACATGATTAATCGTGAATTATGCTCGATTAGTTGGCAAGTCCTAGAATGCCTAGATCCTGATTCGTCTTGGAAGTTAGTTAAAGACTGCATTATGAATTTAGTTGATATACATATTCCTAAAGTAACTATTAAATCAGAGTTCCAACCCCCGTGGTTCGATAGTGAACTTTTTTCTTCATGCCGTAAAAAAGATAGACTCAGAGCTAAATTTAAAACTTCTGGTTCTATTTCTGATGAGTTAAAGTTTGTTACTAGCCGTAAAGATTTTAAGAGGCTCTCATCAGCCAAAATAAGAGATAATCTTTTCAATAGTGATGATCCAGCGCTTATAACTAAGAAGTTTTGGTCACATGTTAAGTATAAATCTAACTCCTGCCGTATTCCTAATTGTGTTAGTTATTCTGGACAGCTTCGGTTCAAACCCAAAGATCAAGCTGAACTTTTCAATTCTTTCTTTTATAACCAGTTTTCGGATCCTTCACTTTATGACACTGACATCTCCTATGTCAATGATGTTGATTTTGATATTGACTTCGATCATCGGGATGTTCGTAAGCTTCTTTCAAATATTAATTCAAATAAAGCCCAGGGACCAGATGGCATACACGGTAAAATTCTAAAAAATTGTTCCGTAGGTTTAGCTTACCCTCTAACATGCATTTTTCGTGGATCCTACAACAGCGGCTACATTCCACAAGAATGGAAACTTGCAAATGTTGTCCCAATATTTAAGAAAGGTAAGAAAAGTGAGGTTGAAAACTATAGACCAATATCCCTTACTTGTTTAACTCATGAAAGTTTTTGAGCGCATTGTTAAACGTAAACTGCTTTCTTTGACAAGTACCCTTCTTGATCCCAGGCAGCATGGTTTTCTAGAGCACAAGTCATGCACAACCAATATGGTTGACTTTTGTGATAGCCTGGCATTGTCTCTTAACGAAAACATTATTAATCATGTTGTGTATTTTGATTTTGCTAAGGCATTTGATTCTGTAAATCATGATATCCTTCTTCATAAGCTAAAGACCTTATATAAGATTGATGGTACACTTCTCAAATTTCTTACCAATTACCTTCAAGGCCGTTACCAAAGAGTGGTTATTGGTAATGAGATGTCATCTACCCTCTCAGTTAATTCTGGTGTCCCCCAGGGCTCTATCCTTGGTCCCTTACTTTTTGTATTGTTTATCAATGATATTCCTCTTGGCCTTTCGGATAATACTGATATTGTTTTGTATGCCGATGATACAAAAATCTGGCGTAAAATACATTCATCTTCTGATAATACTAATTTACAAATGGATATAGACTATCTCTCTGACTGGGCACTTAGAAACAAAATGCAATTCCATCCAGCAAAATGTAAAGTGCTTATTGTTTCAGGAAAACCATCTTTATCTCCTCCATTCGCATATAATCTTGATGGCTCTCTTCTTGTGTATGTAGAGTTAGAAAAAGATCTTGGAGTCGATGTTACTCCTAAGCTAAGTTGGAATAGTCAGTGCGACAGAATTTATACTAAGGCCTGCCAACAACTTGGTATGGTCAGAAGAGATGGCCATATTGTCATTGATCTGAAACGTCGCCGGGCGCTTTACCTCTCCCTTGTTCGTAGCCAATTCGAAAATTGTTCCATAATCTGGCGCCCTTGTAATAAATCACTTAGTGATAAATTAGAAAGTCTCCAAAAGAGAGCTATTAAATGGATTCTGTCTGAAGAGGGCCGCAGTTATCCACCTGAGCAATATGTCAAAAAGTGCAAGCTTGTCGACATTCTCCCTTTGTCTCAAAAGTTTGACTTGAATGATCTTATTTTTTTCCACAAAGTTCTGAACAATTTAATTCCTGTATCGCTGCCTCACTATCTCTCTTTATATCAGGGCACTTCTCGACTAAGACGTTGCCACCTCGACAGTCTGTCTATTGTGTCATCAATTTTACCTAAGTTAAGTCAGAATTCACTCACCATATGTACCTCAAATAGCCCACTGGCAAAATCATTTTTCTACAGAACCCACATACTGTGGAATGGACTCCCTTTACAGGTAAGACAGATTGTGTCTACTAGTCTTTTCAAAGCTGAGGTCACTAAGCATCTATGGAAATGTTTATTGGATAGTGAAACAACAGTCTAGCCTAGTCTCTCTGCTCCCCATATTATTATTATTTTTGTTTTATTAATTTTTATCTACCTTCCTATTCTTTCAACATCATATCACACTTCACCCGCACACCTTCTCGCACATTAATGACCATATCAGACCTGTATCTAATGTATCTGGAATTTGACGTATTGAAATACCAATTTTGACTATATATCCACAGTTATTCACCATGGATTTGTTTGTTATTAAATAGTTTTTCATAAATTTTTGGATTTAGATTAATTCGATGTAATGGGTCCAAGTTACTGCGGACATAGTTCACTATGTGTTTACCGTGTTTGGGTGCCCATCATATTTTACAGATGGGGGCGATATTTTGAACGATTCTATTTTATATTCATCTATTGCTGTACTCTGTAAAATTTGAAAAGTATTTAATAAAAAAAGGGGTGTTTCTAATGATCAGGGTCTTGTAGCAACATAGTGTTAAATGTGTGACAATATTATTACCCGCCAATCTGTCATCGCTAGATAGTAGATACTAGAATAAAACAATGATATTGGAAAAATGAATGTTTGATGATTATTCATGGTTATAATTTTCATTAATCAATGTAACCAAAGCCTGCAGAATGTATTGTGAGCTGAGTTGAAAATGTTACGTCTAACATTGATTCTACTGATCCCACTCTCTGAAGGTATGTTATCATTATTCTTAAATTTACAGCGAAATGATTTTATCTCCTCTTACGAATTTCCCCGTTCATTCTTTTCGACTTTAAACGCCTGAACCTTTTTTTCTGGTACGATTATATAGACTAAAAAAGGACCCTCTTACATTTCAAGGTATCCAGTACAGTGAGTGGTTTCCAGTACCCAAAGACAGGAACACGCTTACAAAGATAGTGGAGGGTAAGAAGTTCCAGACGAAGACCGACAAGAAGATAGATAACAGTAACCCCATCAATTGGACGATGAACAAGAATGGAAAAGGGTGGTTAACTTGGACGTCCGAGAAACTAAATGCCAATGACTGTAACGACGGTTACTTTTTCAGTGGAAATGAAGGGTTTTTACAACGAGCTGGTGTTCTGACCTTCCTGAAGACGTCCACTCAGCTACAAATCTGGTTTGATGATGTTCTAGAAGTTACCTGGGTCTTTGAAAATAGCAGTGATCAAATGTGTTTCATGAAAAATAAAGTAAAAACGTTGAAGTTTAAGTACAACGGCAATTGGGACCGTGTATCGACACACTACAGATATGAACAAGGTAACTTAAATAATAAATTAATATATGTATATTTAACAAGGCATTTAACAAAATATAATGAAAAGAATTACAATATTCATTCTACACTCTGCAGTTATCGACTTTTAACATTGCTTAGTGTCATAGCTAAACAGTAAACACCAATATACCTACATATTTGGGCGTCTACTTGGATAAAAGATAAAAAGCCACATGGTTAGAGTCAATATTCATTAAAAATAATGCAACTTTTTATGTGCTCCTCAGAGAGTACTGATCCAACTGTTCCACCCGACGATCCTGACCCCTTACCAACTGCCCCACCCGACGATCCTGACCCCTTACCAACTGTTCCACCCGACGCACCATGCACCAAATTGGACCCAGCCTGGAATCATCTCACAACAGTAGAAATCTTCCCGGTATACTCAGGAACAGTGCTGACAGTGTCTTGTAATGAGGGGTTCAAACTGAGAGGGAGCAACACTATCACCTGTACTGCGGGAACCACCTTCTCCAGTCACACTTCCCCTTCTTGTTTTCCTCCAGGTACGGGAGTAAAATGCAGCTTCACAAATTCCAATATACAACCACCACCCCCCCCCCCCCCCCCCCCCCGTTCCCACCCCACACACCTTTATCCCCTCCCCGCCCATTTATAATTTTACCCATTACAATTCCCTGTTCCCTGGTGAAGTGATATCCATCACAACTCTACGAAACAGAGGAGAACACAAATCTCTCCTAACTAAGATATCATCCTGACAGGACTATAAGGATTGCGTAGTAATATGTCAGCTGTTTAGTGAGGTTACAGTTTGTACTAAGTGGTTGAATAAGTTGGAATTATAGCAGCAAAATAGCGGGGCGTTTGACCGGACCCCTGCTCCTTGTCCATCCCGGGAAATACCACATGAAGAAGTAGCATTTTACGCTAAAATAATTCTAGAACAAATCTAGTTTCATCCCCGTAAGACCAATGTTTTCATCCTATGATGCGACTACATTTATGAGAAGCAACCTTTTTTTTCTCAGGTCATTTTGAATGTTTAAAAAGATAACAATCACATGTCGAATGTATCAAAATAACAGGGTCAAATTTCATGAGAAACGTCAAATCTTTCCTTATACAATGACTTTTAAAATTTTCGTTAGTACAGTACAATTTGGTTTCTACTGTCATAACAAAAACATATGCACTTTAAACAGTAAAATCTAAAACCTCGTAATTTTTGGGATGGAAACAACCGCAGCAAATCGGGGTTACGTTAAAACATTTCGGGTAAGGACACATACACAAATATAAAACACTTACCCCAGAAGACTGCATAAGATCCGCCCAAGCTGCTGGCTGCAGCAACAGCAACAGTGCTCAACAGAAGCGCCAGCAATCCGCCAACTATAATGAAGGCACCGTAGAACAGGCCGACCCCCATCGCTCTGAAGAAAAGGTTATTAATGTTAATTATACATTAATTATAATTATAATATTGGGTATAGTATAAACCAATAACTAGATAAATGTCCACGTTTTAACCACAGCTGTGGTACTTTGAAATTATGCTCACAATTTTGCTCATCGATATCTGGAGAATTGTAAAATTTTTCATCTTCTCATCTGAGACACATTAAAAAAAAGGAATTGTGTTTCAAATACATTATGCCATATAATTATATCTTTTAACAGGCAAAAAATGAATAAAACTGTAAAAAGTATTAATACTCCCATAACTTCGGTTGAAGTTTCAAACCAAACCAAGGTTAACCGCCCCTGCTGGTTAATTTTGGGGTATGAACCACGTAAAATAAACAGTGTTTATTAAACACGGTATATACTTTACACTTCTATCTAGAATCATTTCTAAGTTTCTAAAGTAACACCTGTAGGGAGAGTATAAACACTGTAGGGTGGGTGTTTATAATACAGTGTTTATAATGGGTTTATAATAGGTTTATAATGGGTTTATAATAGGTTTATAATGGGTTTATAATGGGTTTATAATAGGTTTATAATGCATCTTAAGATGACCGAAAGGGGCAGGGTAAGGCCTTGGTCCTTGCTCATAATGTAAAATTAGTGCACGTATTATCTAGTCTCCTAGGCACACACATTTTATATTACGACGCCAATGCTGCAAAAAGGTAGGAAACTCTTACACCGTGTTTGTTTTTCAGCGCTAAATTTTTGCGAGGTTAATTTTTTTGCGAGTAGGAATTAGAGCTGCTTGAAGGCAACTACCGAATATAACACATGATAATACACAGCACAGTTACAACGTGCAGTAAATAATTTAGTAGAGTGAATGGTTGGGGGCACACAGTATACAGCATGTAGCACTAGCACACAGCATAGTTCACCTTATAATGAGCTCCTTAATACAGTGTAGCAGTGCATTATGTTTTAATATGAGGCCAATTAAAATGTGATTAAGTTATTCGCATTTTTCTACATAATATAATTGTTATTATTCGCCCATTTAATAATTGTTATAATTCACTGGAAAATAACAAATTGTGTACTCTCGATTTTCCAACCCCACATTCCATTGCTTTAACACCTGTTATATCATTTCTCTCTTTCCATTTCTCTCTTTCCATTTCTCTCTTTCCATTTCTCTCTTTCTATTTCTCTCTTTCCATTTCTCTCTTTCTATTTCTCTCTTTCCATTTCTCTCTTCCCATTTCTCTCTTTCCATTTTTCTCTTTTCATTTCTCTCTTTCCATTTCTCCCTTTCTATTTCTCTCTTTCCATTTCTCTCTTTCCATTTCTCTCTTTTCATTCCTCTCTTTCCATTTCTCTCTTTCTATTTTCTCGCACACAATTTCTAATTTTCTCATCCTACGACTTACAGCTGATTCTGCTCTAACTATATTTTCACCCTAATCCTTTAGAAAAAAAACATAACAAAACAACCATACCATCCTATAGTCTAAAAACAATTAATCTGCATAATTTGTAGCAAAAGACTTTTTCTTAGTCAACGTTAAAGTATATCGCAAACGTATTATAGTATTCGAGCTTTTCATCTAGAATTAAAACAAATTCTTTTAACCAGGCTAAACCTGGTTAAAACTCTTCCATCCCATCACACTCAATAAATGTAATAGTACTGTAAATTGTAATTAGTTTAAAACTCATATCTAACAATTAGATAAATAGGAGCTTGACAAATGAGCCCCACCCCTACTCAGTACTCAGATCCTAATCAAATTCCCAGCCCCTGAGCCCCCTCCTACAGGATCCTGTGGTATACATAATATCTCCCCAGACACTACACTATCAGACTACACACCATATCATCACATGGGGGGACATCAACCTGAACCGGTTTTAGATTTCAATAATAAACCTGGTGACTGTGATGACAGGAGTCATTATACTGTTATAACACATGACTCCTTCTAGATGAAGTATGAACAATGTGGAGGTACGGTAAACAAACCAATGATTGGGACCACACATTGGTTTGGAGAGCGGCGGGGTTTATTAATCTAATTGTCAAATTATAGGATATGTCACTGAGTAAGTTAGCACAGGGTCTGAGAAGGAGAGAGTCCCCACTGTTATACTCAGTAATGTGTGTACATACTATACTATGCTCTATCACTTAATTACTTTTCTGTCCTTTTTTATTCGAGCCTGGTTGGTCAAATCTCAGAGGTTAGGGTATCGCTTGGATAAAATAGGAGACCACCATGCCATATATAAGTAGTTATATTCGTATGATGAACCTAACCTGAACTTGCAGGCGCAAATCTAAATACTCGCCCAATGCAGGAACAGTACTGTATGTTGGGTTAAATGTTGAACGGAATGTTTAAAATTAGTGCTCATGAATTGTCAGTATTCTCTCAGAATAGCACAGTGTGACTGGTTCCTCCTCTGTGATAACTCTCAGACGTTTCTCTTTGTTTAGCACCGCTGTACTTATGAGAGATATAGTGAGTTGTTAAGGAACATAGGACCAATGTCCAATAATAGAGAGGGTTTGTGATGTACTAGCTGTTTAGACTCATTACTTGGTATATTATAGGCTCAACAGTGGGTACCCTTAGTGGGAGATCTCTGGTGCTTTCTGCTGGTATGTCAGCATGTTAGAGGACAGCTTACAGGGAAAACAATGACTATTAGGGGGTTACATATTATATAGCCCGAGGAGGGGACGGTAACCCTGTATACAGTGCACCTTACTGGACATTTTACCTTCCCCAAGTATAGCCCCACTAAATGAAGACTGTACCTCACAATCTTTAAATATTATGGAAGTAATTATACTAATAGGAATGTTTTCATGAGAACGAATCCTTTCACTATTGGTGCAATGTTGGACAAACTAGCTCTAGAACCAATCTGTTCCAGGGGTGAACAACTTGGTGAACGGAATGTACCACGAAGGGAACCCATTTAAAGATAGAACTCAAAGAAATGTTAGCTTAGGAAGGTACTAGTTAAAGATTGGAGACAGTGATATAAGAGAGTAAGAGTTGTGTGACATACTCACTAGAAGCTAGAGTATGGACATATCTTCTAATAGTAATAATGAGAATAATGAGATTATCAACAATTAAACTACGGATATTATCGTGGAGTGGTTATGTAATACTTATACAATATACAATATACATTATACAATATACATGGTTATACATGGTTACTTATACAATATGCATGGTTATTGGTTAGTCAGATATTCTCCATGTTGTCAAGTTTGAAAGAACTCACGAATCGAAGAATTCTTTTTCTGCTAGCGGAGTAGACAAGGCCACCAGGGCGCAAATCTGAGGATAATTAGCTTAATTAATTAGCTTAATTATTCAATTATAATTAGTGAAGCAGTTAGTCAGACAAAAACTGCCTGCATGAATCAGAATTCAGAGAGGAGAACAAAATATAAATATGTAATTTTCTGGCGTTATTCTTAAAATCAAGTCCTCAATTCTATGAATCTTCATGAAAGTTCAGAACCTGAACAAAAACAAGACTTTATTCGGAGATAACCTACCATTCCGAAGATTCCCCCTATAGCGAATATTCCAGCGTAGTAAACAAACAGGGTTAGAAGACCACCCAGTATAGCTATTGCTGCACATACACCCAACCTTGCTGAAACAAACATTGTTAGATCGCTGAAACAAACATTGTTAGATCGCTGAAACAAACATTGTTAGATCGCTGAAACAAACATTGTTAGATCGCTGAAACAAACATTGTTAGATCGCTGAAACAAACATTGTTAGATCGCTGAAACAAACATTGTTAGATCGCTGAAACAAACACTGTTTATCATCCATTATCATTAACACTGTCTGATTGCCAATTGTCATCTTGTATTTCAAGTGTCACACTTTTTGGTGTGAATAAATCATTGCTTTTATACTTTTATAGTTGGTGACATAATTGATTCATAATTTCTCGGTATGTAACGCCTTTTTTCAACCTTCTCTGCCTTCCACTGATTCTTTGTTGTATATAATACACAGTGACACACTAAAAAATATATTACAGCCCGCTTAGGAGGGCCCCGGGTTTCAGGAAATGGTCCGAGAAAAAGGATATGTCAGATGAAATGTAAGAATTAAGATGTTATGACGTGAACTCTACACATCTCAGAGGCGGTCACTGAAGCCGCCTCTTATATGTATCGTGTATAATTGTTGCTATTCACGGAAGAAATGTGACATTGAACAGTTTTAGGAAGAAACTTGACCCCTCAACACTGAAGTCTGAACACTGAACACTGAAGATACTAGTTGATCATGAGACAAGACAGTTGAACTGCTGCCAATGAATATTTCTGCTGAAAGCCAAGTTGTCAGTATTGTTTGGTTGCATTACAATGTTAAATAGTAAGCCTTGCAAGTACCAGGGTTTAAAACTTGTCTCTAATTAAAAAACGGCGCCGACTCAGGGCTCAGGTCCATATTGTGGGTGTGTTGAACTATTCAGCTGGTTTTACTGATGTAAAAGTGGGGGGTTTAGAGATAAGACCTATATATAAATTTGAAATTAACCATCTTCAATTTCAAAGACCGGTCCACTTTACATGACACTTTAAGACACGTGATTTGTATAACAGTTGTTATAATTGTTTAAAAGTACACCGGCTGGTACCTCCAATCTAACGGGTATCATGTATTTAACTGTGTTGTGCTGGCTATCTAAAGGAGTATCAATATAGTAGTGTCAGTTTACAGAAGCAGTCTGTTTCAGGACACACTCTGAGGGGCATTCTTTTTTCATGACTTCAACAATTGCTCGAAAGATATTTTCAATATTATTGGCAGAATTGGAAGTTTAAGATCATCAAGGGAATAAACCTCATTTATAATCATATTGATTCCTATTTCAGGGTTATTCAATTTTGTTAAGACGGAGATAATAGTGACTGTTACGGTCTGAAACTGAAGAATATTTAACAGTAAAATAACTCTCGAGTAACATTTTTATTCCACCCACGTGGAAAAGAAAGTATTTTAAAACAATTTTATAATTGAATTTTAAATTTAACGTTTGTACTCCTCAGTGCCACGCCCAGTTTTCAGTTTAGACATGCTTCACAACTCGACAACACAGCTGGACTACAGTTAAAAGAACACAATAACAAATATAATAGCTTGTATTATAGTTTCACATGCAGGGCGCTCGAACAAACATGGAGAAAATCCAGAGCTTAAAAGATCTGAACAATGCTGGCACCATGCTGTCTGCTCCAGTTAAATTCTACAAATTTACACTTGCTACCTACAATGCTGGCACCATGCTGTCTGCTCCAGTTAAATGCTACAAATTTACACTTGCTACCTACAATGCTGGCACCATGCTGTCTGCTCCAGTTAAATTCTACAAATTTACACTTGCTACCTACAATGCTGGCACCATGCTGTCTGCTCCAGTTAAATTCTACAAATTTACACTTGCTACCTACAATGCTGGCACCATGCTGTCTGCTCCAGTTAAATTCTACAAATTTACACTTGCTACCTACAATGCTGGCACCATGCTGTCTGCTCCAGTTAAATGCTACAAATTTACACTTGCTACCTACAATGCTGGCACCATGCTGTCTGCTCCAGTTAAATTCTACAAATTTACACTTGCTACCTACAATGCTGGCACCATGCTGTCTGCTCCAGTTAAATTCTACAAATTTACACTTGCTACCTACAATGCTGGCACCATGCTGTCTGCTCCAGTTAAATGCTACAAATTTACACTTGCTACCTACAATGCTGGCACCATGCTGTCTGCTCCAGTTAAATTCTACAAATTTACACTTGCTACCTACAATGCTGGCACCATGCTGTCTGCTCCAGTTAAATTCTACAAATTTACACTTGCTACCTACAATGCTGGCACCATGCTGTCTGCTCCAGTTAAATGCTACAAATTTACACTTGCTACCTACAATGCTGGCACCATGCTGTCTGCTCCAGTTAAATTCTACAAATTTACACTTGCTACCTACAATGCTGGCACCATGCTGTCTGCTCCAGTTAAATGCTACAAATTTACACTTGCTACCTACAATGCTGGCACCATGCTGTCTGCTCCAGTTAAATGCTACAAATTTACACTTGCTACCTACAATGCTGGCACCATGCTGTCTGCTCCAGTTAAATGCTACAAATTTACACTTGCTACCTACAATGCTGGCACCATGCTGTCTGCTCCAGTTAAATGCTACAAATTTACACTTGCTACCTACAATGCTGGCACCATGCTGTCTGCTCCAGTTAAATGCTACAAATTTACACTTGCTACCTACAATGCTGGCACCATGCTGTCTGCTCCAGTTAAATGCTACAAATTTACACTTGCTACCTATCGGGTTTAATGGAAACTTTTCCTTGTGATGGTAAAGTATGATACAATAAGTATGGACGAGAATATGCGTTAATTTCAGTAGATTATAAGTAGGTGTACTCCATATTAACATTTTTTTTGTACATTTAAAATATAATTTGGAACATTACAGTAACGTTATTCAAATCTCAAACAGAAAAAAGTATATTTCAAAGCTGTGTGTTTGATCATAATATGATCGTGGGCGTATAGTGAATTTGATTGCATAATTTTGATTGGGCAGTGATGGTGAGTGAGAATATGATAGGAGTGCCAGCCAGTAACTCTGTCATATTATTATTAACATTTGAACATTTAAAATATAATTTGAAACATTACAGTAACGTTATTCAAATCTCAAACAGAAACAGTATATAACAAAGTTTTGTGTTTTGATCATATGATCGTGGATGTATAGTGATTGATTGCATAATTTTGAATTTGATTGATGGTGATTGTGAGTGAGAAGATGTTTGGAGTGCCAGCCAGTAACTCTGTCAAATGAACAGCCCATTGAAGAGCGAATGAGCGCAATTTCGCAGGAACAGCAGAGAGGGTGGCACAAAACGGCACACACAGAAAGGACGAAACAAAAAAGAAAAAACGCCGTGCGCGGTAAGCTTGCCTATGTCTGAGAGCTGGTGTTACCTGGCAAGAGGCCTCGAAGGAGGTGCCGTGGTGGAGTGTGAAGGGAAAGTTCGAGAGCACGGCAGCTCTAACTGATGATGATGATTGAAGATTGAAGAAGGAGGTCGAGCGGGAAGCTCAGAAAAAGCTAAACAGGAAGGATCCAGCTGAGGTCTGACTCATGTCAGGAAGTGACGAAAAACTCACAGACAAAATCATCAGTGGCTGTCTACCCCGTACGTAGGCAGTGTCCAAGATTTCAGGCATCAGGATACACTGGAGCAGTGCAGAGCTGATTACGACCAGGGTCCTCACGGATACCCTGTCTTGGAGGTCGAGCCAATGCCCTGCGTTCGGTAATTGTGTCTACTGATATAGCCTTCATACTTTCCCTACTAACAGTCACTGTAACCCTATCACTCGGAAGGCCCCACGGCTCCTACATGGACGCACGGCCGGGAGCCCATGTAGGGATAAAAGTGACCGCAAGAAATCCATCACATCCGTCACAGATCCAAAGCTAGAAAAGAAAAAAAGGCGGAAAGAAAAAGGGGAAAAAAAAGAAAGGAAGAAAGGAAGGACTGAAAGAGGAAGCTAGTTATCTACATTTAGACTTTCTTTGAAGTTGAGGGTTAGTCTGTAGATTTTATTAATGGTGCTGGTCGAGAGTTTGATCAAACTTACGTCCTCATCGCTGAGTTTGTCCATGCAATCGGGTTGCGAGATGAACGTGGAGGCAAGATTGAAGCTACCATTTCCGTCAATGCTGACTAGATTTCCACTGAGGCTTTGAAATCTGTCCCTTGGAACTTTCCCTAGGGGGCAGGAATGCAGCATATGATTCTCGTCTTCGATGATTAGCTGGTTGATGTTCAGCTCGCAATAGTTACAGGTCCTTTCATCAAGTGGAGTTTTGTCGTACCTCCCCCTTTCAATTCTAAGGTGATGAGAACTGGACCGAATCTGTGTGGTAGCCCTTCTGTCCTGGAAAGACCTAGCGTGGTTTAGATATGGCTCCCATCCAAATTCTTTTTTGACTTCACTGTAGAATGATAGCTTTCTAGAATCTTTCACAAGAGAACCCCAGGAATCACGGAATAGTTTTCGCAGGTTCTCTGTCATCAATTCAGGGCTGCAGGAGTCCGCGAGGAAGGTTGCGTTGAGCAACGATGATGAATTCCTGTCAGGAAGGTCGATGTTGTTAAATGACTTGATAACTGATTCGATGCCTACAAACCATGACAATTTGAGGTTAATCTGCTCAGTCATTGCAGCTTTGACCAGTTGTGTTGAGGGAAGGCTCATAACTCTTTTGAAGTATTTAGTACTCAGTTTCAACATCTCAATTATAATTGGGTATGAGCCAGTTTCTCCCCAGGCTGTAGCATTGACTGCCCTTCTGTTAATACCAAGAAGGTATTTGAGGTGACGTAGGTGCACTTGCTCCAGTTTCTGTTTTGCGATGTGGGAGACTGCATGATCAAGGTTGTGAAACTTGCTGAAGCAAGAGAGGACCTTACTGACGGTGGGTAGAACTGGGGCCCAAACTTGACAACCGTATAGTAGAATAGGCTTGACAAGGGTGTCAAATAGTTTGTTAAGGCATGATGCGTCAATGTATCTCCGGTCTATGG